AGTTGAATAACTTGTTTTAAGTTAAAAATGTTTAAAAGTTACATTTGGAATCTTACGTGCAGAGTAAACGACAATAGAATATTCCTCTCTTGGTTTTTCACCATTTTTCATCATTTCAGAAATGTCTCAAAAGAGCGGCTGCGAAGAAGGCCTGTGTGACAAGACTTTGCAAGAACTACAGTTAAATAAAAAAGGCCACACTCGTATTGACAAACTATCTCACACGACAGCTTTTTGGTGAGCCTCGACTCTGTGTATTTCGTTAGATTCCAGGCGTACTCGACTTTATGTAGTATTTGTTTGACTTTCAGATGATCTTTTCTCAGAACGATCATCCAAACACCAAAAGCATGTCGCTTGCCGAGCCGCAAAATGTTCAAGAAAACAATGCTGTCCACATTGACAAAAGGGGTTGTGCAGTTCACACACAAGTATCGATTGCCACAAGTCAGGTCCATAGAGTAGCGGCGAAAAGAGTCACCTGCAAAGAAGTCCCGTGTGGCACATGACTCACGCCAGATCCGCAAATGAGGACAAAATAAAAATATAACTTGCTGGCCCCACAAAGATCGCTATTAAAAGAGAGAATTCGAAAAGGTCTCGCAGACGCCTTCACAATTCAAAAGATCGAACACAAAGATGTTGTTAAGCTCTCTGAAACACAGTTCATCAATCTCAAGAGATTCGCCAAATTTATTGACGTTAAGTTATTGATCATGTGTGCAGGTGTCATTCTTGTCCAGCGTGAACACAGTGGCGTGACAGAGATAGTCAGAAAAAATTTAGCAAAGTATGAACGAAATATTCAAAGTTAGTAGAGCCAACTAGGGCGTCAAATCGCTCGGTAAGTCATTAAAAACCCATTCAGAAAAATGACTGGGTGGCCATAGGAATATTATCTGTTCATGAAAAATTTCAGTTCAAAGCACCTTATTTTCCTCGTATAGGATATTAAGAACTTTGGAATTTTACAAACTACAGTCTTATTTGTTTTTACCATCTAGATGCTTTGTTTTTTCTATCGATATCTATTTCCTCAAGGTTATCAGATCTTTTTTCTTCTTCTTTGACTGGTTACCAATCCTATCTCCATACTTCTGTTAATGCTTGTAGCCTAGCAACAGCGCTTCTGACAGACTGGGAACCAACGCATCGCAATCAAGTCGAAATGACGTCACAGAACACAGCAAATCTGTGCCAATCATCTTTCGAGTTCCGGGATGTGTCCGAAATATTCCATCGATCCCTTAATTTAAGGTCTCTGTGTTCAATAAATTCTTCCCGGATATTAAGTTCGGGCTTATCCTTTCAAATATAAAAAGCCTCAAATGAACAGGATCGTTTTCTCTTTTTTCTAAATCGTATAAGAAAACGACCACGTCAACTTACAATTATTTTAGGTAACAATCTTGGTTCGACCGGCGAAACATTTCCTGCGCGAGCTCTCCAAAACATCTTCTTCGACTAATTAAAACCTGTTCATGCAACAAAAATGTCGTAATCCCAACTATAATGATAAATAAACTTTTAATTGTTTTTCTTGCAATACAGTGCCTATGTTTATTTCAGATTACGCAGTACGCAGGTGCGTTTGGCTACCACAATGCCAGTTCTCGTCTTGTGATGATGTTACCCATTTCGCTCACATCTAATTAATTTCCTGTTTATAAGAAAGTGAAATTTGATTGTGCTGTTTTGTCAGTCTCTGTCCCCTCACGGTTCCCAAGAAAGCCGGAAGTACGGTTTCATGCAAATTAAAAGTGCAATGCATACGAATGAGTTATTTTATGACAGCGTTTCTGTCGGGAAAGGAAGAGGAATCCTCGCTTGAAAACTGTAAAGATTGACGGTGAGTTTTCTGGATTCCTTGTAAATCATCTTGTTGTAATAATTTCTCACAATTTTCAGAGATTTATCAACTAACTTAAGTTCTCGCGAGCTGAACAATTTTCTGGCTTTGTCCTAGAAAATGCAAGGAATTAATTCTCCTCAAAAGCCCTCAAAAATGATTTACGACTGCTAGTGTTAACTACTTGATAAAAAGACAAAATCTTCTACAGCTTTAGAGATGAAGCTGCCTTCCGTGATTCATAGCAAACTTAAGATATTTGCGATTGAAACTGCATCATACTCTTACTTTCTACTGTTTTCATTTGCATTGTATTCTTTGAGTAAGCAGCTACAAAGATCTCTCTTTTTTCTATTTCAGCATTCGCCAATTCCTCAAGTCATCAAGGTCAAGTTTCAAGCTCGCACCTCATCAACAATGGATGACGAATACTCATATTACGGTAAGGATTATTAATTGCAATTTGCAATCTGTCCTTGTAAATATTTACAATTCATTAATTCTACCTTATATAACTTATGGACTCCTTGCCTGGGGCAATGCGTCAAATGCTTATTTAAACAAGATTTTAGTTCTTCAAAAGCGAGTTTTGCGCTTAATCTATTTCACCGATCGAAGAGAGCATGCCATCCCTTTATTTGCCAAAGCAAAAATTCTGCCTGTTACGTTCCTATATTATGAAGCCGTAAGTAAACTTATGTTTGACGTGCACAACCAGAGGGCTCCCATTAATATTTTGAAACTATTTACTAAAACATCTCATATTCATACCTACAATACTCGATCATCCAAATCGCAGCTCTTTAGTACAAAGTACTCTAGACTTAACCTACAAAAAAGGCTTTCTCGCGTGTTGGTGTCAAAATTTGGAATATGATACCGAAAGAATTCAAAACGTTATCAAAACATTCCTTTAATAAACAAATAAAAACGTCTTTATTTCAGATACTAGATAATGAAGATTCTTATCTTGATGTTGAAAAGATCTCCTCTAAACTTAAGGACTGCATAATTAAAACAAATTGATCCGATTGCTTTCAGTACTAATTTATTTGCTTCTATACTTTATTGAACAACTATTGATGTATTTACCAGTTATGCTTCTCTTTATAATTTAACAATATCTAACTATTTAGTTTTTAATTTTCTTTATATATTGTAAATAATGTTTGTTGATGATTGACCCGCCTCGAATAGCAAATTTGCTATCTGCGGGTCAACATAATCTAAATTATTTTGTAAGAAAAAGAAAAATAAAGTGTGTAAAGTGTGTAAAAGTGTGCAATGAATGTAAATTGAAACCAAACCGATAATATTCTTGTACACTTAAACGAGCGTTTGCACTCGTGATTGTTAGACAGTAGATTTTGTACCTCTAGTTTTAGGTGAAGATTAGTGATAAATGGATTTAGAGTGTAATCTGGTTGAATCTTGCGTTAAAGCGACCGATCGAGACATTTTTAGCTCGCATGCTGTAGAAATTGTATTTACGCACCACTGCACTTACGCCTGGCTTGTGATCATGACTTCGCACATTTCTCGAATTCTTGTGATAATTTTAGTTCAAGAAATAACGTGAAAGAGCAATTTTTGCTTGTTGCCTCAATGTACGTGATTTGACAAATTTGATAAAAACTAAGCACAGCGATCTCGAAGGGTAGAAGCATCCGGAAGCAATTGTTTGCACTTGTAAACTTCTGATGCAAGAACACTTTAGAGAAACAGAGCAGCTAAAAACTTCACAATCAAGGAATGACGCCTCTTGAGATGATAGAGTCCGCAAAGTTACTGGTTAATAAATCACAATCCGAAAAATATTTATTTCCTTTACTCATCGGAAGGACATCCCCCATGTTATTTGCTCGACGTAAACCGGAAGTCATAACACGAGTGTAATTATTTTTGCCCACAATCAATTCAGCATTTTCAGAAAGTCTGAAACACAAACAAATTGATATCAACACCAGGAAATAAATATTTCTGTCTGAGCTTGCTTTAATCAGCTAGAAGCAGAAAAAATTATTTCCCTGAACGGAAAATGTAAAATAGGCGAGAAAAAATAATACTTTTAAATGCACCGTGCGCCTTGAAAAAAAAGGCAAGCTAAATATATCATAGGCATGTTATGCATTATTTCAGTTGGGGTGGGTGGATTTATTGAAACATTGTAAGTAATGTCTACATTTTAACAAAAGGAAAGATTTCTTACGCGGAAAATAACCAAAATGTCGAATTAACTCACTCAGGGGTATTTTGTGGTCGGTTGTGTGTGTTGGCGAATAGCTATAACCACAAATATACTGTATTGGTGCCACGGATACCTGTTAGAAAAAATTGCAGAATGTAGGGTGCAGACCGGATACAAAATATACGCCAGGTACCAAACGTAGACTGCAGACTGCAGAGAAGGTACAAAATGCAGACTGAGAATTTAAAGTGTTTCTTTGCCTGGTATGTGATAACATGTCATCTTACAACTTACCGAGCGTCACGCAATCGCTTTTCCGCGATCAGCTTTCACTGTTATTTGCACTATTGTAGAATATTCCTGGTCCGTTCCTTGATCAAAATCGTTCTACATATAATTTCAAGCCTTCATATAGTCTTCTCACTTTGCGTGCGAGTCGGTTGGCGTGATGCCTGTACAGATTTTACTAACTTACTAAAAGTAGATGTAGATGTAGATGTAAATGAGATGACACTTTTGAATATTTAACACGCGCAATATTCGAGAAACAATTGACAGCTTTGCATGTGGTCCGTATTAGCATCTTTTTAAGCGGTATGTGTTTCTTTTGTTGAGAAAAATGCAGACCGAGATCAAAACTGTTCCTTAGACTTGATGTATTTTCAACGTCAGTAGATCACATCATTTAAACTTACCCCCGAAAATCATTCACTCCAGATAACAGAATCAAATAAACATGCTAGCGATGGTATTTGAATTCGTCCTTGGCCAAACATAAACGACTCCACAAGCTGACTTTCTCTAGGCATCGAAAACATCTCCATTCGTCTAGTGTTCTCAAAATTACCCTCGAAACAGCCAAATAATTTCCCTCAACAGCCAATCATGACACAAAATCCACCTTGCAACACTCTTGCAACTGTTGCAACTTGCAACACACCACGATGTTTACCATGAAATTGACTGCAACCAAACCGCCCAAAAGAAAACTCTGCCATCTTTCGTAGAAAAATCGTTGTTTAATAAAAACACCTCCTAACATTGCATATAAATCAAACACGACGTCAAATGAGGCGACAAAGCTTACTAGGAGCCACACAAAATCGTCCATAGTTAATTTCAATCAGACATTCATCTAGAGATGGCACCGAGCAAACCAATCCAGAAAAATATAATCGGCACACTCCACAAATCATGAATATTGTAACATAGCTTGCCGTTAAAGAAATGCTCAAATCAAAATGTTTGGTGCAATTCATCAACACCTCAAGCAATACTTGATTCAAAATTTTTCCACCCACTCTCGTCGTGAAGGAACAATAACCATGATCATGCCACAGTGCACAGAACTCCATTTTCTCTCGAAAAACTATACACCATTTTCAAAGCATGAGTAACACGTTTAATATAGATAATCTGATGTCTTTCATCTGTTCAGTAGTATCGCATTTCTCCTTAAGCGCGGTAAAATACACGTTATAAACACAGAAAAGCCATCATTTCTCATTCTGAATGATAATTCCATCTTGCGAACCGCTCTCTCCAAATCCCCCATTACTTCGTTGAAATTTGAACATTTCTCAAACCAGAGAACAAAAACTACGCTCTGATTGGTGCGAGATACATACCCTAATGCGGCGATCTGATCGGTGTGAGCAACATACCACTGTATGCGCTAACATTGAGTTATTATTACTGGGATACCTGTGGTAGCCCAGTCATAAAACGCCTTTGTCTTTTTGTCTTCTTTTTTTTTCTCTGCCACAAAATGGAAAAATTGTGCAATAGTAACTTGCGGTCATTGGGCCCTCAACATCATGACAACGAACTGTGATCCAATGAGGATGAAGGTATTCACATGCTGATCACGTGTGTTATCTTGATGATGATCGACGTTGTCATGCACGGACAGGGCCGGGTCACATGACGAACCACGAGATTTTTGCTTAGTAAACTCTTTTTTCAGCCATTTTGTATTTGTTCTGGGGTTGTTGTTTTGGCGATGAAGGTGCCACGTTTTTTATTTACGATTACCTGGAGCTTCGTGGTGTAAACGCTCAAAATACTTACAGACGTATACACAAGTCGTATTGTTCTTGGCCAATCCAATTTTTTTTGTTGGTTGACTTTGAGAGGTATAACATGTATCTCAAGGCCACCATTGGTAAATACTGACTGGTCCCTCACTTTGTCATTCACAGACAGCGGAGATGAAGAAGAAGAAGAAGAAGAAAAAAAAGAAGAAGAAGGAGAGAAAGAAGAAGAAAAAGAAGGAGAAGAAGAAGAAGAAAAAGACGAGGAAAAAGAACAAGAAATAGAAGAGGAGAAAGAAGAAGAGAAAGAAGAAGAAAAAGAGGAGGAGGAAAAAGAAGAACGAGAAGAAGAAAAAGAAGAAGAACAACAACAACAAGGCGAAGAAGGAAATGAAGATCTCGGTTCTTTTAATGTCAGTGACTTTGTTGACAAAGGGGATGACGGAGTTCGTGAATCAGTTGAGAAGAATGTTGACATGGAGTTGGGTTTTTCATCTGCTGTCGATAAGTACGAGCATAAAGGGCTGGAGAAGGAACAAGAAGACCCAAGAGAATTTGAACGAAAATCAAAACAACTGAAAAAGTTATTCAGTTGTTTGCCACTAGTCCTTATCAAGACAGTTCTCCGTCGAGATGACGTGAAAGGAAATCTGAAAAGAGCACGTCAAAAGCTACAAGAGTTTCAAGATATAGAGAATCCTGCGGGCGTTTTTAAAAATCCAACTGAAAGAAGGCCATTGATTACGAAACCTAAAGGAAAATTTGAAGATCCTCTAA